ACGAAGCTAACATGGAGAAAATTGAAAATGCCGGGGAAATAATTTTCTGCTTTTGATGTTGTTTNCGGTGGATTAGTTGTTGTGGTTGGAGCGATTGTTACAGTTGTTGGAGCGATTGTTCCAGTTGTTGGAGCGATTGTTCCAGTTGTTGGAGCAATTGTTACAGTTGTTGGAGCACCATTGTTGGAGCGATTGTTCCAGTTGTTGGTGCGATTGTTACAGTTGTTGGAGCGATTGTTACAGTTGTTGGAGCGATTGTTCCAGTTGTTGGAGCGATTGTTACAGTTGTTGGAGCGATTGTTACAGTTGTTGGAGCGATTGTTACAGTTGTTGGAGCTATTGTTCCAGTTGTTGGATCGATTGTTACAGTTGTTGGAGCGATTGTTCCAGTTGTTGGAGCGATTGTTACAGTTGTTGGAGCGGTTGTTACAGTTGTTGGAGCGATTGTTTCATTAGTTGTTGTATAATTTTCTGCAACCATTGCTTGAAGAATGATGATAGCGGTACAGCACCAAATATATTTTCTTTTATCTGTCCACATCATTGCGTCTTAGCCGTATTTTAATTGTAGTATTTTTCCTTTTCAAAGTTTCTGATTTATCAGTTTATTGCAAAGTTTTTAAAATCCTAATATCATTTGATTTGACTTGGTTGAGTCTTCGTCTCTCTCATGTATATTTACGCAAAGTGGCTTGTTACGTTGTGCCTTGATTGTTATTTCTATATTTATTTTCGTTGGACATAAATTAATCGCAATAATAACATTTTTTTTAATAAAAAAATGATTGGTAATAACGTCGAGTGGGTTTCTCCTTTTCGTTTAATTTTTCATATAAGAACTCATCATTTTCTCTCTTTTTTGTCGGTGAACTTTCAAAAGCACACTTCATCTCAATAGTTTTCTATTAACGTCAGAACTACTACTACTACTACTACTACTACTACTACTACTACTACTACTACTACTACCACCACTACTACTACTACTGCTGCCGCTACATCAGTAATACTAACGCTACAAATCCTACTACTACTTATTCCTGTTAGAAATACTGCCAATTTTACTCTTGTTTCTATCAGAAAGTAATACATTTTACAATGTACCTGCAGTTTGCCAAGTGAGCCATTTTTTTAAAAAATCGTGTTTTCATCAAAAAATTAATAAACACTCTGCCCTGAATGAACTAAATCCTCCGTCGTTTAATGTGCCAAACGTTCGAATTTGAATTGATTTGAATGGTGGAGTTTGTTAATCCGTTAATACGTACAATGTTTTATTTTTTTATTACTATCAGTAAGATTACTAATAGGTTTAGAATCAATAAAAAACCCTACGATTTTTGATGAAATTTTGATTGATCTCTGTTAATTTTCTTCGTGCAGAACATTTGGTGTGGGACTGGAAAGGAGTGCAATCGTTCTAGTGGGATATGTGGTTAGTCGTAGCGTTCGTTTACACGAGTTTTATCACTGGTAGCTACACACCTATCTGTGATTTTTAGAAAAGACTTAATTATATAAGTTCATTTGCCATACATTTTCAAATGAAAATATGCATATTTGATCTTTATGATGAAAAAGGTTTAAACATCATCCCACGTTAATACTTTCCTTCCAATGTCGCGGATTTTATTAGTAGGAAGAATTTTGCAAAAATGAATTTGTTTACTCATCTTTTTTGACATAGGTTTAATTTATAAACACGACGATGGTAATGGTGAGTTGCAACATAATTTAATATTAAAATTGTAAATTGAAAGACATTTAAATTCAACGATAATCAAAGAATGAAATGTTGGAAGAGGAAAAGTTTGATCAGAAGATTGGCGGTAGAAGCAATGAAAAAAACATTTATATTTTTTGTTTTCAATTCTACAGTGTTGGTTTTTTGAACTAATAATATTCTTTTATTTATAGATTTTAATATCATTTGTTTGAACTTTTTTCAAAATTTATAAATTATCCATTTAAACTCAACTATGAAGTTTCGTTTTAAAAAAATTGAACAGAATATAAAAATAAAATTTTCAGAAAACTAAATAAATTGACAATTCATTGAAAAGAAATTGTATGATCAACTAATTTTAAGCCATACATTAAATCTTCCAAGAACTTTTCTTTTCATAAACAATAATTCTTTTTAAAATATATAATGATACTAAAATTTAAAGTGTTTGGAAACTGGAATCTAAAAAACTGGATTTCCTTGTCATCCTACAGACATATCAAATAAATTTTTCATATTCTAATCAGAAAATAAAATTCTCCATGCATATGAAAATTAAGTCAACATCCACAAAAATTTTGACCGCCCAATTTATTATTATAAGGTCCTTAAAATCCTGGAGCTATTTTTAAATAACTATCCTTACTAAACTTTCGTGCCACCCCATGTCATGTCATGATGTTTCTACAAACAAAATTCAGGATCAACATTATAATATGAAAATTGTGTTGTAATAGTTTTTATCTGTTTTACGCTTCAGCAGCTGCACAGCAAGACACACGATGGAAAACTCACTCATGACGCTGAACATAAGAACACAGGCGAAAAGCAGGCACATGTAAGCTCACAAAATCTTACATGCCTACCGATAATTATCATTTTTTGATATAAAAATGTATAACAACAGTTTTACTATAAATCTATAAGAATGTATTCAAAGTGATAGTTGTTATGAAGCTCCACACTGCAGTTGCACGATCACACTCCTCTCTCACAAACGTTAAACATTCAGCACATTTTATACAGGGAACATTAAGTGACACATCAATATATTGATTGCGGTCTACCTAATTATTTAGTATTTATCAATTTTATCACACCCACACAGCACACACACACACAAACAAACAAACACACACACACACACACACAATAGAACCAACTTAAAATGAAAATGTGGATGTTTGAACTCACCATCAGTATCCATGATGATCACCCGGCCATAAATCATCCATCCGTCTT